GGTCTGGGAGCGGGCACTGAATGATTGCCAGAGGGTGACCAGCCAGGCATGGTCTCATTCACAGTGAAAGGGACATCAGACTTTGAAACAAAGTGCTGTCTCTCCTGGCAAGTGACTGGTCTGTTGTAAAAGTGTCCCTGGGCTCACGGGGGCTTGTGTTACACATGTCACATAGCTACCTTGTGACCCAAGAATGGATCTGAAATACAGCTCTGATGGAAAAGTGATGGGTAGAGTTATTTTTGTTTTTCTATGTGGGCAATCTTTAATTTATTTGGGTCCCTTCTAGCAGGGTTACTAATGGTTGTTAGCTATGAGGATGATGGGCTTTCTCCCAGGCATTGACTGGAATGGTCAGTCTTCTGAGACAGACTGGCTCTGTCATACACTGCTTAGCACAGTGGTCAGCAAACTGTGGCTCGTGAGCCACATGTGGCTCTTTGGCCCCTTGAGTGTGGCTCTTCCACAAAATACCACGTGTGGGCACACACGTACAGTGCGATTGAAACTTCGTGGTCCATGCACAGAAGTCGGTATTTTGTGGAAGAGCCATACTCAAGGGGCCAAAGAGCCCCATGTGGCTCGTGAGTCGCAGTTTGCCGACCACTGGCTTAGCAGATGGGGTGGCCTGAATTCTAGGTGGGCCTCTCTGCAAGGCTCCTGGAACTTGAGCTAGAGATATTCAGACACTGATCAGAAACTTCCTGGCATCATAGGGGGACCCGTGAGTAAAGACCCTCCTGTTTCAAGTTGCGTGACTAATGTAAGGTGACTCCGCCAAGGTCAGGAGCCAGGCAGTTCTGTCTCCTGTCCTGTAGGCAAGGCTCAGCGGACCAGATCTTCCTGGGCTTGCCTCAGGACTCGCTAGCCAGATCTTTGGCTGACTGTGTGAAAATGGAAGAGAACAATGGGGACAAAAGCCTGTCTGGGGCCAGGATTTCTTGCCTCCTCAGGCTCATCTGATGAGGTGTGTGGCACGGAAACAGAAGAAAATGGACTCACAATTCTCATTGGATTGTGTATTTTGTACCATGTAGTTTTTGCCTTTCTTTATCAAAGCGGAAATAGATTCGTGGTTACAAAGCTTGTGATATTATGGGTATGCATTGTCCTTGAACTGCTCACAGACTAAACACTTGTTATCTGAGGAGCTCTCCTGCTCCACCTCAGCCTGGTCAGGGTCCTCTGATGGAGCCATGACTGAAAGTCCAGCAATCAGAGTAGAATAGGAGATGTTGTACAAAGACATCACTGAACCTTGTAGTAATTCATTTGTGGGGGTAGGGAGCACATCCCCTGTGTCATTGGTTCTGGCAGTAGCCATGGGCACAAACATGACATTACCAGAAGTGCCGTCCCCACTTGAACTACCTGCTGCACTTGGACACTAGACCTCCCTGGCACTGCCCATGGGCTGAGGAACCGAGAACTCGAATGCCTGGGTGGCATTGGGTCCCCAATCATTCTTGCCTGTCTCCTGAGCCTTTTGTTCGGCTTCTTTGCCGCCGTCCTCGTGGTGTGTTCTTGGGGAGTGTCTTGTGGGGGCCATCTTCTTCTTTCTCTTTGGCGGGGTGACACTGGTCGCTGGAAAAATGTGCATCACCTGGTTGCCTTGTGTCTTAATGTTCTCGAGCCAAGGCTTGCCTCTCTGGAAATTGCAATTTCTGCAGATCTGAAACAAAACTAATTAATTTAGTCACTTGTGGAGAAAATATACATTAACTTGCCTCTCAGAGTCTTTACTCATTTCTGCAGGTTATCTCTAAGGGGGCTATAGTTTCAAATGAAAATCTATACTTTCTAATCTTTTGATAAATACTGTATCATGTGCAAAAGGGTTAGGACCTAAAATGAAGTCCTTTCAGTATATCTTTTTCCTGGGTCCACTAGGAAAATGTTTGAGTAGCAGGGAACATAGGAAATGGGAGGACTTTCTACTTTACCATTATCTTGTTCCCTGGAGAGCAAACTGAAGAGTTGCCCGGGCGTATTTTCTTTAAACCATGGTGATTCAACAAGCGGATGAAACTCTTCAGGCTTTTTGATTCAAAGGTTTGCTCCTCGCCCCTTTGGCAAAGAATCTCCCTCTGGAAAAGATTTTCCTCAATGATCATGGTGTCTCCATCGTCATTTGAGCACAGAGGCGTGAAGGCCTCGTCCTCCACTATCCTCCAAAGCTTTCTTGGGAAGTACAGCCCAAGAAGAATGTTGTTTCCTTCCACATTGGCGGTGCCTTCATTTGGGTAATGTGGCTGCAGGCTCAGTCCATGGCCTTTGTGCTTCTAAACCGGTTTACAAAGTATTCATTCAAGAATCAGTTTATTCTTGGAGGACATGCCCTAGAGCAGCGGTTCTCAACCTGTGGGTCGCGACCATTTTGGCTGTTGAACGGCCCTTTCACAGGGGTCGCCTAAGACCATCCTGCATATCAGATATTTACATTACGATTCATAACACCAGCAACATTACAGTTACGAGGTAGCAACGAAAATAATTTTATGGTTGGGGGCCACCACAACATGAGGAACTGTATTAAAGGGTAACGGCATTAGGAA